AAAAACTGAACACAAATACAGTACAAAGTCTTGTTTTAAAACAAAAGCTATAGTTTTAACCCCTCTCTTTGTATTGTGCGATTCCTTAATACTCAAGGATGAGCTTATCGTGAAACAACTATAACAGTTTTTAAATAAAACAATGGAAATTTTCAAAACTTTTTGAACACATTTTAAAATTTGAAATGTGTTCAACAAGTTTTAAAAAATCTTTTCTTTCTGAACATCTTTATCGGGTAACTGCCAAAAAAAAACTCATGTATATTATTAGGCAAAAAAGTTCGAAATAAATTTATCGGCTTTTGTTCCTGTAAGTTTACTGAATTTATCTTATGTGAACTGCAGAAAGCTTTGCATTATTCTATAATTCTTGACTGCACTGCTAGCGTAAGTTGGAAAGAACAAATGATACTTGTAGTTCGGTTTGTCAATGCAGTTCCGGGAAACAAAGAAAACACAATAGAGAACATTTTTTTGGATTTTCTCAGGTCTAACCCAGCAAACATTCATTAGCGGAATTTCAGTGGACCTATATAGAAATTTTAAGCAGACCGCTGTAGGTTTGCTCATCTGATACTTAGTTAAATATTAGTGGCAACCGCCAAAAGTAGCTATCCGATGACTAACCACTAATATAATCTCGGAAAATTATCAGCTTGCTATTTATAGTGGTTGTCACTAATGGTTCACTAAGTAACCAATGAGCAAAACTCCAATGAACCGCTAAAATATGCCTATATAGAACCGCTATAATATGCCTATAAATCCACTAAAAGAATGTTTACTGAGTAGATACATTCGGACAAGGTTTAACAGCTTGCTCGTTAGACGAGCTTTCAAAAATGGAATATCCTACAAATATACGCGGTTAAGGTTATGATAATAGATCAAATATGAAAGGAAAGAATGTTGGCATAAGAGGATCCTTGACCTTAACTCACAAGCATTTTTTGTTCCATGTGGAAACCATTCACTAAACTTTTTTTTCAATAATACAACTTTTTTTCTGAATCAACCCATAGATGGACTATATTAACAAATCATGTAAATAACTTTACTGTGAAATCCTCTGGGTATAACTCGTTGGGAGGACATGATAGACGCTCTTGAACATTTGCGGTACCACATTGACAAGGTTTATGACACTGTCTATGAATCCTTGTTAGGTTCCAAGATTAATGCTTTTGGAAAATGTACTGCTACGGGAATGGTCTAGAAAACTATACATTTTAAATTTCTCTGCTGTTTGGTCCCTTGGTACGATGCCTTGTTCAAACTTAATTAAGTAAACAAAACAATTCTGATGAAAACTTTTGAAAAGTATTGATATTTTTTTGGAGAACATGAGGTAGAAAAAAAGTTTGTTATTAAAAAAAAGTGTTTTACTGGTTAAAAAATGGCCATCAATACAAAGTTCTCTGATGAAGTTGTGGTCAAGCCGAGGAAGATCAAAAGTCAATTTTCCTATGAAGGTAACTGATGAACTGTTAAGTTGGCAAATGAAAAATGAACCTGTGAAGTCAACTAAAGAGTCTTTTAAGTAAATTTCTTTTTAGACACTGCAACTAAGTCTTTGTCAAAAAAGTTTGAACATATGAAAGATCAAAGCAAATATTTTGAATTTTTCTATAACATGAAAAAATCAGAAAAGCGTAAAATAGATGCATTTAAAGAAAAGTGCGAAAACCTGTTTTTGTCAAAAGAAAATGCAGGTTTTTGTTTTAAAAGTAAATTATTTATATATATATATATATATATATATATATATATATATATATATATATATATATATATATATATATATATATATATATATATATATATATATATATATATACATAAATATATATATATATATATATGTATATATATATATATATATATATATATATATATATATATATATATATATATATATATATATATATATATATATATGTATATATATATATATATATATATATATATATATATACATATATATATATATATATATATATATATATATATATATATGTATATATATATATATATATATATATATATATATATATATATATATATATATATATATATATATATATACATATTATATATATATTTTTGTTTTAAAAGTAAATTATATATAAAGTTCACTTTTTACCATAAAACAAAATATTAGGTATAATTAATATTTATTAACCAAAGATGGCTTAAAAACATTTATGATTTGATTAATACAAAGAAATAACCCTATTATACTTTTTATCATAACTTGACTTATTTGATTGCACTGTTATTGGAAATAAATTTGTTTTTGCAAAGCTACCATTTTATTCTAATCAAGGCAACTGGTTCCCTAAATTGGAACACTTTGATTCTTTATCAGAACAGATTGTTTTTTTTTAAAAAAAACCATTAAAATCATTAAAAATTAATAAACGATTTTTATCTTTACAGTAAAAATTTAAACAGTTTATTCAAAACTTTAAATAGGATTAATATTACCCTGACAAACTAAAATTCTACAAACAAAAAATTGTATAAAAGATTCAATTGGCATGACGTTCTCTTAATATATTAGTTAAAAATCACTAAATAAAGTACTTTTTTAAGGTTTATGATTGTTACTATTTTTAAATTGCTCTTGAACTGCAACCCTTTAATTTTATTACTCATTAAGGAAAAAATTTCAATTATTTAATAATTAATTAATAATTAGTTCTAATTATGAAAATTTTAGACTATTTTGATATATCACTGCAATAACATGCTTGCAACAACTTATAAGATAAGTTTATATTGTTATTTTTCATTTTAAATCCCAGCGAATTAAACACAAAAAACCGTATAACCTATAGCAGTATAGTTTAAATTACTTGATAAGCCAAAAAATTACAGTAAGCATCGCAGCATGTCAGAACTGCTGTCATTTGTTTATCGCCTGTTGGTGACAACTTTTAGAATTTTTTAGGCCTTTCCTACAAATAACTTCTTTTTGGTTTAAAGGTAAATTGACAAATTTCAATTTGTCAAAAGGCAAAACTTTCACGGGTATAGTTGGCTCATAGCATTTACTGTGGAAAAAATATATTATTATAAAATTAATTTCTTTTTTTTTCAATTTTGAATATTTAAAAAAAATATTTTTCACAAAACAATTAAAAGGAAAAAATTGGGGAGACTTTTTTAACAGAAGAAAAAATGTGCTACTGTTTTTTGTTTTTTTTTTAATAAATAATGCACTTTATTTATGCATATTTCTGCAGCCCTAACGATAAAATTTTTTTTAATTAATAATTTAACAAATATTTGTCGTTAGGACTACAGAGCTCAAAGTGTAAAAACAGAGACAACTACTCCCGGTCTACCCTTCCGTTGTACCTGACTCATAACAGTTGAAAACATGAAGTAGATTTAGATTGTGCTGAAGATTTACTCCTACTTTTTGAAATTTTGATTTTCAGTTATTTTTGGTTAGTTATTAATGCAATCTGTTAGAACACTGTTCGACAGATTGCATGCCACTGGCCTGCCGTAATCGAATGTTGTTTTTATTTTATTTTTTCATAAAATAATGGCACCGCGATTTAAGTGGCTTAAAGTTTGAAAAATATAGCGTTTATAGATTTTTGAACTTTGATTGTTTTTAGATTTTTGAGTCTTGCTTGTCTATTTTAGTCTATTTTTTGTTCATTTTACAATGATGAATTTCAAATTTAAATATAACTTAATTGCAATAATATTAATAATAATATTATTAATTTTTTTACATAGTTCCTATCCAACGCTTGTAATTTAACTCAAAATGCTGTTAGTCGTGTTATAAAAAATAGTGATAATAATATACCCTTCACGTCATCTACAGTAAAAAGATTCTGTGGTCTGTAACAATGCCATAATTCAAAAAGAATAAAAACGTTTCAATCTCGTTTGTTTCCCGTAAATTAAAGTAATTAAATTCGACACAAAAAAGATTAGCTATCATTCCTCAAGAAAGAAACACCATCAAAAGAATAAATCAGAAATCAATTTTTGAAGCAGAAGTTTTATTTTTTATTTTGTTTGTTTCTAAGGTGCCTCATAATGACCTAACGGTCTTGTCACAAAGCATCGCGGAAGTGCATTAAACCAAGAAGTTCACGTCTCCTAACTTATCCTGACGCGAAAATGTGTCTAGAGCTCGTTTTAAACCTGGATCTCCTGCTTATAAAGCAACCGCTGTTACCACTACGCCACGGCCGCAGTTACTTAAATTGCTTATTAAAATTTGTTTTTTTTAAACTAAACCAGGTTCAATAAACGTACTCATATAGCTATTCTCCATATACTAGACAAAATATATATATATATATTTTTTGTTATCACTTTAACACCTTTTGTTAACACCTTAAAAACACCAAAAAATACAAAAACATACTTGACAGTTTCTGCAAATAAAGGATAGAATGTTAGCCTCATGTGCTTAACATCCCATTTAGGAGGTGAATGTTTCCATTACAAAAGCGGTGCATACAATACAAAATCATTTATTGATTTCAAAAATAACTAACTAGTACCATTGTTTGTAGTAAACTCAAATATAATTCTTATAATAGTTAATGCAAAATTTCATAAAACAGCTGCAGTACTTCAATTATTAAGAGAGAAAAATATTACTCACAAGTTTTTAGTAATATACTCCCCTAAATTGAACTTAATTAAAGAGTTCTTTTTAATGTTAAAATCCAATTTCAAATCCACAAGAAATACTAATGCCGATGTGACTATTGAAGAATATAGAATATATTTTATCACCTAATAATTATAGTGAAAAGTACAATACCTTTTATATAAATATCAGAAGATGGTTGGAAAAAGCAATAAGGAGAGAAGAATTTATCTAATTGAATTATTTAAAATGATTTTTTTTTATAAATAATAATGTATATTTTTACATGCCTTACACTTATAAATTTAAAAATATACCCTTATAACTTTGCAAAAGCGTGCAATTTATAATAGTTTGCTCTCAAATTTAGGATGTACATGGCTGGAAAATATTATGCCAGACATAAATGGAGGTATTGCATCAGTTCTAAGTAATACACAAGATGATTGTTGTGCATATTGTGTAAAAAACTTTACTGACACCTTAGCTGCTTATTATATGAATTCACAGTGCACATGTTTAAATGTAAATCACAAAAGAATTGTGTCTTATGGAAGTTATTACACGTATATTACAAGTAAGATTTTTTTGTTTTTTATATATCGATTATGTAGTAACTAAAATTACACAATCTACAAAACATTTAAAAGTGGTGGTATACCATTATAAAGTTACACACACACGCACAAACACGCTCGCAAACACACGCAAGCACACACAATTATTTGGGTTAGAGTTCTCAAAATTAGTTTTTATCAAAGTGTGCTAAAAAATTGTTCACAGTGCTATCTCTAAAGAGGCTCATGCGACCATTTACTGTTACATTCTGTTGACAGAATTCGATTTACCGATTATTGTTTTTATAAAAAATGGATAATTAAGGAGCGTTTTCTCAGGGTTAAAAACCTCATAAAAAAATTAAAGGCGCGAACATGCCAAGGTAATTATAGACGTCTTGGTTTAAAATGATGACAACATAAAAAAACTGCTGAGGTCAAGGGTACGACAATGGAGTCAACATGTCTGATGTGCACAAAGAAACTCAAACGATTATGCTTCAGAAGAATTCTCAAGCACTTTATATGCGATGCAGAGCTTTAGTTGGATTAAGTTACTTGATGAAAATCTTGGCAAAAAAGACTGGTATGTCTCCTCGTTAATCCTTGCATAGTCAATAGAGTGCACGCATTGAGGTTATGAAGCCGTTAGCTACGTAACCTAGGGAAAACCTTGTATATTTACAGAATTTTTGATCCAACTACTTTGATCCAACTACTAATCTATTCAATTAAGTAAAATCTTCGCAGAAATGGATTCAGCTATTTAAATTCATTATCATGACAATCATTTGGCTCGAAACTCTTCAAGCAATAAACTATTTAATGTCTCAATTTAATAAGAAAACATTCCTTTTTTAAATGGGATGCAACTTAGGAAGATGTTTTTTTTAATTTGTTGTGTTAGGTACCCTAAGAAGACCATTCTTTTTACAAAGCACAGCAAAAGAGCGTTGAACAAGGAAGTTAATTCCTCTTTCTTGTACCAATGGCGCAAAATATGCCTAGAGCTTGCTTCGAACTCTGGATTTCATGCTACTAAAGCAACCGCTTTAACCACAGCGCCACAACCGGTTAAAACTCTTATTGAGGATCTCATCGGATTAAGATCTTCTTAGCCCAAATTTTTGATAAAGCACATATGATTGCCTTCTATCGAGCAAATCATGTTTTTCAAACTTTTTTAAAAAAAGTTTGAAAACTGTATCAAACTTTTTTTAAAAAGAGGACAATTAAGAAAAAGAACTTTAACAAAAAACCAAGAACAAACTTTACTTCAACAAAAATAAAGAGAATTATTTTGAGGTAAACTTATTCAATACCACTCTTGATACTCTAATATAACAAATAAAAAAGAGAAAAACTGTCTGTTAAGCTGCAGGAAAGACGTAAAACAGATTCCTTTTAGGATCTAGTAGGTTGAGTTAAAAAGAAGAAGTTGATTCGTCTAGAGGAAAAATTTGACGCAAATCTATGTGAGCAATGGGGATAAGGAGAAACTTATTGGGGAGGTTTGTCATCTGGATACTCTGAAGCGTGCCGATTTGTTTGATCCAAAAAATGTCCTCACTTCAAAGAATCTTTTAAATAGAATCTACCTTTCTGATAGATCCCATTTGATAGAAGGCATACTTGGTTTGATTGGTTGTACCAAAAATTACATAATGAAACTATTCAGTTTATTAATCAGTAATAAACAAAATTTTATATGAATATCCTCTAACAGTGTATTGGGTTTGAGTAACAGCATATTTGGTTTAACTTAGTTTAATTCTTTGTTTAATATGACTACATCACTTTCTTATCATTGGTTGTTCCAACCACTCAACAAAACTTAAAAAGAAAGAAAAGTGATTTGTGAAATTCGTTAATATTCAAAAGAAGATTCTATTTGCTGCTGTTTTAAACCTTTTTTTTTTTTTTCGACTGAAAAAAAATTAAAACTTTGTAATTAAAAAAATAAAATATAAATAATGAAAAGAGCGTAGATCTGTTTGGAAAAAATTGATAAATAGGCTAAATTGAGTAAACCTCGATGTAAGCTACAAGTACAGTAAAATGTTTTTAGAATATTTTATTAATAAAAAATTTGAACATCCAACAGAACTATTGCGATAAAATCGATTAAATAAAATAAAATAATTTGTATTTTCAGCTTCTTCTTATTGTTATTGACCAATAATGACACTTTAATTACAACATTACAACATAATTTCTGATTCATGTTCAACAAAAACAGCCACTTTAAACACCTCTACTTGTAAAACTGCAGTTGTGATTACAGCTGTAAATAAAGTATATGCTAATTTGTTTAAAAAAAAACAGTTTACATAACTCTACTTTCAATAATGAAATCTAAACTAATATTAACAAAGCACTACAGTATTGCATAATAATGTTTTTCCTGATATTTTTCCTGGAATTTTCGTGGGTCCGGCAGAAATGGCGGAAATTCGCCTGAGTCTGCCTTCATATTGCTTTGTTAAGTATTACCAGGGCCGCTGAGAGCCATCACTCCGCCTTGGACAGCAACCCTGATTGGCACCCTTATTTAATAAAATTTCCCTATATTATTATATATTTCCCTTTATATTTTACCCAACAATATTCCCATATATATATATATATATATATATATATATATATATATATATATATATATATATATATATATATATATACAAACTCCGAGAGGAGGGGGAAGGGGCGGGAAGGATAAACTGTCCTTCCCGCCGCCCTCCTCCCCCTCCTCTCGGCAGCCATCAGAATTGCGTAATTTTGTAATATTAAAAAACAATCAAAAAAGTTTTTATTCAGTTACATTTTTGTAAAGATATAAAGTTTGCAATTAAAGATTTTTTAAAAGTGTTTTGACATAAATTTTAAATAAACTCGATATACGTAAAAAAGCAGCAACTACAAAGAGCTTTAAAAAGCTACTTAAATTTTAATTTTTAATTAAAAACTTTTAATAAAATGTTAAAAAATAAAATGTTAATGCACAATAATTTTGTAATTACACTTTTAACTTAGTATCTAAAATACAACTTAATCAAAGTGAAAGTAATAAATCTTTTTTAAATAAACAGTAAATAAGTAAATAAATCTTTGTAAATAAATTAAATAAATCTTTTTTAATAAACAGTAATAAAAATTTGTTTGTTTAGGTTCGAATAATGCGACACAAAAATAGTTTTAAAAGTAACCGAACTTATTCAATTTTAAATTACAAAGTTTTAATGAAAAAAGTCTTTAATGGTTGCTTACCTTCTCGCCTGAAACTATTTCTTCTTCTATTTTTAAACTTTTGAAATTAGAAAAAAATGTTTCACAAACAAGCAGAGTAACAAAATAACTTTTTAGGTGGTAAAGTATGCAGAAACACGACACAAATATTATCAGAATGTTAGCCAATCTATATATATATATTAAAATAGAGTTTAAAAAATTTGGTTAGGTGTAACATTCTTTTTAACAATTTCTCTAACAAAACAAACGTCCGCAGTTGTTTTTTCAAAACAACTATTGCTGACTATTAATTTTCTGATGTATTTCTGATACGATACAAAACATTACAATGTAAAACTTATTAGACTAATACTAAAATCTAATCAATTTTGTTTTTATCTAGATATCAAAAAAACCAATGAAAACGGTTATACACAACAAACATAAATAAAGTAAATATAAAAATATTTAGGGATTTTCTTAAGAATGTGAAAAAAAAAAAAAAAGTTGCCAACACGGTCACTGTTAGGGCCATGCCATTCAGTGTGATGAGCATTAAAGTCATTAATAACAATAATATTAGCAAAAGGGTAAAAAGAAAGGGCATGGTCAATTTAATCAGAAACTAAATCTAAATATGTGCAGAGGTACTATGTGGAAACACATAAAAGTATTGTCGGAAAGTTTCTTAATAAGTAGGTAAATTGATGTGTAAGCATACGCCCAAGCCATTTATGTGACTATTGAAGTTTTTGAAGCAAATGAAGATCTGAAGAACAACAGTTGAATTTTAATTTGTCTCACAAAGAGCAAGCCTGTCTGAGCAAGCAAGTCTGGTGAATTTTCCAAAAGATAAGATTCAAGTGATGGAATGGTACTTTAAAGACCATAATATTTGTGAAATATATATAGAAACGGTTAAGTGGTGGAGATGGTTTTTATGTTTAATACTTTTGGTTACTTTAAGCAGAAATCAGCCTCTCTTAAAGCTACCACAGAGTTTGAGAAACCTTACTTTTAGCCAGTCCATGAAACATTCAACTGAGTTTCAAAGCTGTACTGTCTATATAACATTCTACTGAGTTTCAAAGCTGTAGCTGTAAGCCAAGCATTAGGAGATAACAGGAAGAGTTGCATAGCCACTATCAAAGAGGCACAAGCAAAATTTATGATTTAAATTAAGAAGTTCCAGCGTTCATCATCCTAGGAAAAAAAAAGGCAACACAGGCTTACATCTTCGCTACCCAAAGAGATAAAGAAGGGTATGAACCTGGTCAACATAATTATTTTTCCTCAACCCTACAGTCTTTGTTTAAAAGTTCATTACAAGACAGTAGTTAGATGCCGTAAACATCTGTTCAAGATGATTATTTTTATTGAGACACCATCTCTAGCCTTTACTGAACCAAGAGCCCCAAATTAGGAGAATTCAGAATCAGAGTTTATTTCTCCTATCCTTTGCATAAAAAAGCAAAACAAAAAACCCTTCAAGGCAGCAGAATATTAAGCAGATACTACTGATTTACATGATATTAGTAGCAGAGTAATTGTGATGATCTTGAATCTGTCTGAATTGGAACTCTTTTCGTTTATCAACATTTAAAAGATAATTAGTCATAAGACTTTTTATATAGTTGTATATTTGTGTTTATATTTTTATGGTTATGTAATTGGATAATATCGATAAAATTCGGAATACCTTGTAGAGAAATAAGAAAAAAAATTATCTATATTGCAGAGACACATGAAAAAAAATTTCTAGCTAACACAGAATTATTTGTACATATATATA